GTTTTGTTACTCAGGACACAGAAACCAGCATGTGAACCCGCATTTCCAGTCGTTCTGCCTTGCAATAGCTGGATAATCACTTAACTGTCCTACCATTTTTGCTACCTCCTGTCATTGTATTTTTGCATTTATGTCTTATAATACAAGATTGTTATATTTGTGTATTTCGGTTTATTTTTATGCTGTCTCCTACTTGGAACTACCTCGTTGATTGCGATCTAGGAATCTTCGGCTCGGAGGCAGTCATACTTGGCCTATAAGAGAATATGCTCAGTCATTCTGACGGATTCTAGATGATTGCTTAGGAAATCCTGTCTGGGCAGTCAGCTGGCTGTTCTGTAATGGTGGATTACATACAAGCACTAAGTTGGGCAGGTAAAATCGATCCACGGTGAGCCTCGTAATTCAATGGTAGAGCGTTGGCTGCTGTGCGGGGTCGACTCCCACCGAGACCGCATATTTTTCACATTTGGGTCAACTGAACAAGAACGTCATGCATAGGATGTGAAATAGATAGCAAATCGTAAAGAACCTTTGCTCTTGATGAGGATTATGCACTGCCCTCATTTACCTTTTTTAAAACACTGCCCCAATGCGTTTCCCTTCTGATACAGTTTTTACAGCCGCGCTGGTCTGCTTCGTTTATACTCAATTTTTGACTGAATCCATGCGCTATCCGACATGATCGACTCAATTATACCTAGTAGTACATTTTGGTTCAGAATTTGTACCACCATCTTTTATCCACTCCTACGGGAGTCGATGGTTTGCGCAGAAGCACGTGCACCTCTTGATGCACGCATCAGCTCGAGAAACGTACTTTACAAATTGTCGCCAAAGAGATGGGTTACCTTGCGTTACTAAAGGTCGCGCGCTTGTGGGTTGGTTGGGAGTACTGCAGTGGCCTAGCTGTTGACTTTCATTGCGTTTTCAATACATTTTTCCTAAACACACACACACACACACGAACTGTAACCGATACCAGCACGGACTGTAACAATAAATCATGCGACAATCCGAAATTGCAGCATCAACCAGCTTTGCGAGGAATCGTAAGTGCGGTGAGCTTTGGAGTCCTGCGCGAGTCAGGACCCAGGCCGCTTTACTCCCAGTAAATTACATTTTGTCGTGCCAGAGCTTTTTTCGGAAACAGTCGGCTCGAGAGTTTGGGAACTACGATTTGGCTAGATCCAACTACAGGAAGTTACACTTCTCTTTCTACTCTTTCTGTTGATCTACGGGAGGGTTGGCCTTTTGTTTCACTTCGTATTTGGTGGTGACAATTTGGAAATTCTGTTTCTGTTCCATATGCGGGAAAATATGATTGATACAAACTCAAATGTCATGTTTCTGAACTTTAGTGGCCTTAAGATCTCAGTTTTGGTGTGTCCTGGTGCTAACCACACTCACAAAAGGAAATCTAAGCGTAATGCGCCAGGAAGTGGCATAGCAATGATGCCACCATTTTAGAAGAATAACGACGTTTAGTTGACGGTAAGATGTAAGCTTGCTCACACGGACTTAATAAGCTTCTTCAACTACTATTGTAGCGTAGGACTAAGTCAGGAGCTTTAAAAGCCATGGAGTAAATATCAATAAAAGGTCTTAGTGGAGGGTGTCCCCTACCTCCTTACCGGCATTTTGCCTCTCCATTACAAAATTGTGAGTAGTAGAAGGGACTGAAAGCAAGAATTGTGTTTTACTCTGGGGAAAGCAAGAAATCGTTGTTTATTTTCAAACAGAAAACTCTTCTACATATTGGTTTTGTACTCTCCGGCTGCCTGGCCGTGTTTGATTCACACACACTGGAGTCGGCACATGTGCTAGCCCGCGTGGCACCACGGAGTTCATTTCTCTCGCCCCCACTGACTTTAACTCGAATTTACCAGTGCTAAGTTTCTCCACCGCCTCCTGACTGTCTGGTCGACGTCGTCGTCGTAGCTGCTGATCGGCGTTGGGTGGTGCAGTGTCTCGGAGAGTCTCGGTGGCGGCCACTTTGTTCAACCAGGATCTCCGGAAACAGAGCCGGTTATTCCTCCAAAACCCGCTGAAGGTGTCAACAGTTAGTCGCCTCGCCTCGTTAAAGCCGCCAATCAGTAGACCGGCTTTCAAGAGGGCGAATAGGGGAGGAATAAACCGTAGAATATGCTCGACGACCTGCATATAGACGATGAGGTCCGATCCCCGAGTCTGTCGGTAGGTCCTCTTGACAACTACAGTTCTCAAATTGGCCGGTTCTCCCACGCCAGTCTCTTCGTAGAAAATGACACCCACCTTGCTCGGGTGATCACCTGAAACAGAGGTGTGATGAAAACTGAAGTGCTGGTACAGTAGACACCGCGGAAACGAACGAATAAAAGCAATTCGGGGTATATCTGTCCAAAACTTCTCTGCGAAAAAAAATGGACAGTTAGCGTTCAGATGTAGTATTTGATAGGGTAAGAAAGTTAGGCACCATCCTAGTCCAATGCCCCGCTGCACCGAAGTTATTCGCCCATCAGTTCCAGGCGCGTTGACCTTGCAGTCTGGTTCGCAGCAGTATGCGCACATGCACACCTTCCGACGGTC